GCGTAAAACCATGACATTTTGAAATGGCCTAAAATTTCCATAGACAAGTCACGTGAAATCAGTAATTTTTTATAGAAAAATATTAAATATATGGAACAATGGATTTAGCAGTAACAGTGTCATAAAACCAGTGTTATAAAATTAAAGTATATTTTCATAATACCGCTAGTGGGACTTCCAATGTTAAAGTATAGCCATTGGATTAACATGAAGTCTCATGTTAAAGCGCATATGTTGGAGTGGATTGGCCGGAAGAGTTATAAATCACATTCTTCATAAATGAATTTTTGTTAAAATATTTATAATTGAATTCTTTGATATAAATGTAACCACATTTAACGTAAATAACTGATAAATTGAGATTTAAATCGGAAATGTGGCAAGTATTTAAACGGATGATATTGTATAATTATTAATTTAATAAATAAATCACTTTACATTACGTCACTTCATATTATGTATACTTTCATTTATATTTTTATCATTTCATGGTCAAGATATGTGTAATAATATACAAATATATATTAAATAATATTTTCAATTTTTTAATAATATTTTTTATAAACAGTAGATAATAAATGATCAAAATTTTATTTCAAAATAATTTTAAAAATATATTAAATTATTCAAATTAATTTTAAATATACATTATTTTGTCTATTTTTCAGTCTATTTTTATGATCCGTTGCCATCACATAAAGCTGATAAATGTCTGCCGATTGTTATAGAAAATATAATTTTGAATCATTCACAAAATGCACTAGGATCGATCGTTCGTCGTGGATTTGGGCGTCAATCTCAGGGAAATTGTTTGAAATTATGTTTAGAGTTTGTAGAAAAGCACCTTTCAAATCCACAACATTGCGATTCACTTGAATGGACAAATTATTACAAATAATTATTTACAATAATAATTAAATATGTAAACCATAATTTTAATAAAAATGTACATTAAATTAGAAATTATGTATAAATATAATTAGTATTTGAATATCTTTTATAAACTTGTTTATGTAAATGTAATATTGAAATGCAGTACTTGTGATTAGCCCCAGTGTGAACACCTTTTTGAATTCTGTATGTAAATAATTTATTTTAAAAGTATTTTAATTAATTTGATTAAATTTAAATGTAGTAAATTACTTGTGATTTGGTATTTTCAATAAGAGTACGTTTAAATACTAAACAACGCACACACGGCGATGGTTTCCGTTAACTACAATTCGGATATTGCTCAAAGAATTGATTAGCATTGTCTATAAATTTAATATGAGTTCAATAGTCTTGCCAATGGCAAGTTGCCATAGTGTCATAGTCTTAAGCTGTAATTCCATAGAAATCCATTAAAGCATTTTCCCCATAGAATTAACATTAATCCCATTGAATTATCATAAAGAAAATTTATCTTTTCCCTTCATATTTCGCTTTCCCATAGGAAACAATCTCCCATATAAGTAACATTACCAGGCTCGAGATCGGTACGAAAGATTGTGTTACGCATCGCTCTTATATTTTCAAGAAAATGTAACATATATTATATTTATTATAATTAAAACATACACATAAAAACCGGTTTTGTGTAAACGATATTTTAATGCAAAACATTAGGGTTAACTTCAGGTTACATTATTTATATAATATATTAAGATAGGACAATTCTTGACCAATTATTATAATTAAATTTAGTGTTTCTTACAACTAAAGTGTAAATCACTTGCTTTTTATATTTAAAAGTACTCCTATCTTAGCATTTGATATAAATTATGTGACCTGGAGTTAATCCTAATGTTTTACATTAAAATATCGTTTGCACAAAACCGGTTTTTATGTGTATGTTTTATTTCTAACAAATATATGTTACATTTTCTTGAAAATATAAGAGTGATGCATAACACTATATTTCGTACCAATCTCGAGCCTGAACATTACCGATACGATAACATTAGCCTATTTTTAGTCTATGAAACAAGCTCTATAGTAATAACATTACACATGTTAAGTCTATGTATAAAGATTAATATGCAATTCGCAATATACCGTGGGGGCTGAGGAAGGGGGCCGAACGATCATATAAACCACATTATTCAATGGTGAATTGTGCTTAAAGATTTTATATTAAACTAAATATTAAGTCATGTTATGATACATACAAGATATATAGAAAGTTCATTAATGACCAGAGTAAACTTGAATATCTCTCAAGGTATTCAGTCTAGAAATTCAAATGATATTAAATTGTATCAAATTAATTTTCAATCCCGGGAGTTTATTTTATAAAATGGTTAATTAATAATTTTATTTTTAGTAATTACGATGGTAGAATAACATTTTTAACGTAATTCACATAATTCCATCGTAATTACTAAAAATAAAATTATTAATTAAACATTATTACGTAATATTTTATTTTGGTTTCTCCGTTTAGTATCATCGTTTTATTAATTTACTAATAAGTTTTTACATATTTCCATTCAATACATGTTTAACTCAAACCGACAAAATTTATGATCACATTTGGTGACATTACGTCCGCCAATAGTGGCGGTGAAGACTCGGGAGAATTTAGGCGAACAGACCATCTCACCAGACATTTGTCGGGCCCTCTCGACCCTCATCTCCGCTATTAAACCCATTTCCACTAAACGCTTAGCCGACGGACAGTTAGACCGCTGAACACAATCGGACAGTTGGGTACTGTTGTCACAAACCGTATCGATCCCATGGCTCCGACGTCCAGCCGGTGTGAACAGTTGGGTACAGGAGTCGCCTTAAATACCATGATAAAAACTATTATAATTACATTAAATAATGTTAGTTTTATACAAACTTTGATTGTTATTCTTTTATACCGTAACTAGCGTTGCCTGAATTTTGATAACGTGATGTATTATAGTCACATTAAGTTTAAAATAAACCTATCAATTAATAGACTATTTATGCAATTTATTAGCAAATTTATATCGAATTTATTTTGATAGTAAATGTCGGCAAAATGTGATCAATCACTTTAAATTATACGCTCGTATTGTGTGAAAACTGTTCGATTAAATAAAGTTAGAGAGAGATTGAGAGGCTTAGACATACATCTGGTCCGTACCAGATCTCGGCAAACCATAGGCCAAGTGTAGGTTCGGGTGGAAATTCAAACCGATAGTCAACAAAATATTTTGGTTTATTTGGCCATAAAGTTGTTTCCTCTGTGTATATGTTTTGTGGATTTTTATGAAAAATTTACAATTAATTAATTAATAATTTTGTATTAAATTACTTATACTTTTATTCTAAAAAGGAATTTACGAGATGTGAGATGGCCATTTTCTCATCATCTTGCCATGGTTAGATCCAGTACGAGTGTCTGATAGATAATCAAAAGTGAAAATGTCCAACGGCTTAGAACGGGAAAGTTATGGCCACTTTTGTAAAAATTTACATACTTTGTATAGCAATAGATTTTGGTGATTTCTAACTTATACTCAGTCATGCACTTGAGAAAATTCAGTTCTCTATGCTATACAAAGTATGTCAATTTTTACAAAAGTGGCCATAACTTTCCCGTTCTAAGCCGTTGGCATAATTTCACTTTTCATTATCTATCAGACACTCGTACTGGATCTAACCATGGCAAGATAATAAGGAAATGGCCATGGCACATCTCGTAAATTCCTTACGATTTGTGGATTCTTATGAAAAATTTACAATTAATTAATTAATAATTTTATATTCAATTAATTATACTTTTATCCTAAGTTTAAAGCTCTGGTCGACGAGTGGCCGAAGTCTACCATTGAGTCTAATACACCGTATGAGCACATTATCTGTCGGATTATATAAGGGTTTATCGGTTTGATTGAACGCAAAACCGGAAATCGGGATAACATGGGTAATGCTAAATCAATGGACAATACTAACCCTATGAACTAATGTTATTTCTATGGATAATACTAAGTCTATGGGGAGCGCTATTCCTACGGACTCATATTAAATCTATGGACAATGCTAATCTATTTCTTAAGCAATACCCGAATTGTGGTTAACATGTAGCATTACTGTGTGATCTTTGTTTATAATATAACGTAATTTTTTAATCACCAAGGTGTTATTAAAATATTGACTTTATATAAGAGTATACTATATTTGACTAACATTTGAATAGTTTATATATTACAACAAAAGAAACAAATGTCAAAAAACATAAGAAGCAAAAATACATATCATAAAGCTAAATGTGCCTCATATTATCCTATGGGATTATTTTCATTTTAAAGATGGCAATTTATAGCTAAATTAAACAAATTATTTTTGGTATTTCAATTAACTATTTGAGAAATATATTGATAAAACATATAAACAAATTACAACATATCATACGATAATAAAATTACAGAAATGTAGTAATTTTTTATGGGAAATGTTTAAATCGAGTGTAATTAAAAATGAGATTATATAATAAATGCACTTATTCTTATAAATATGAATTGTTAAAAATTTATTATTAAGATTGAATTACAAAAGGATGATACAATAACCCATGCCATTTTTAACCACAATTCAGAATGTGGTTTATAGAATCGTTTGGCTCTCTACTCTCCTTCCTGCTTCCACTCTATGGGATTACAGCTTAAGTCTATGGTTGAACTTTAAAATGGGGCTAATGTTATCGCATAAATAATGTTAATCTTATAAGGAAAGTTTTCAATAGGTTTCTATAAGATTACAGCTTGAGTCTATGGCATATTTATAACATGGGTAATACTAAATAAATAAACAATATTAACTCTATGAGACTAATTTAAATAATGGTTATTTTATAAAATTAATGCTAAGTTTATTACTAGATCTAGGATTAGCATTCTTCCAATAAAGTTCAAATTGTCCATAGATATAGCATTACCCATGTTATCCCGAATTCCGGCTTTGCGTTCATTCAAAGCAATAAACCCTTATATAATCCGACAAATAATGTGTTCATTCGATGTATTTAACTCGATAATAGACTTTGTTCACTCGTCGACCAGAGCTTCAAACTTAGGATAAAATATAATTAATTTTGATAAAATAATTAAATAATTTTACAAATTTTATGATAAGAATCCACAAAACATATACACAGAGTGTTAGAAAAGGGTTAGGTGTCAGAAGATCTGAGGAGCAAATTCTTATTATTAAAACAATCTTATTATAAAGTTATGTGTCTCATATTATCCTATGAGGTTCACCTCATGTTAAAGATCATGTTAAAATTAAATAAAGTATTTTTTATAATTTTAATAAACTATTTGGCAAATATATTAATAAAATATTTAAAAAAATTACAAAATTACATCAATTTATTAAATAATATTTATTTAAAATGTTTAAATAGATTGTAATTAAAAATGATATTATTGAGTAAATTTACTTATTTTGACAAATATGAATTGCTAAAAATTTATGTTCAAGTTTGATTAATAAAATATTAGTAAAATAACCAGTGCCATTTTAATTATAAATTAATTTTTACCACAATTCAATTAATAATGTCATATGCTATATATAGATTATGATATTAGTCTATTAAATCGATTAATTTCATCAATAATCATCAATTTTATTTGATCCGTCGGCCATAAATCAATCATCTTTGTAGTTAAAATAAACGGTCGGTCAGTGAGTCGTTCATCGTTGGAGTCGTAATATTCATTAAGGTAGGGATGAGCTAAAGCTTCCTCAGCATTAATGCGTTGATTGGGATTAAAGGCCAACAACCGGTCCAACATATCTAGTGCCTTAGGTTTGGCTTCCGGGAGTCGCAGAGCCCAATCGATCCGATTTCTTGAATCACGTATCACTGATTCCAAACTTTGTATAGTGGCCGGCGTAAGCCAGGTTAGATCTAATTCATTACCTAGCACGTTAAATATGCATTTAATTTGTTCGAATGAGTTGCGGCCTTGAAACAACGGCTTATTTATAATCATCTCAGCAAATACACAGCCTACTGACCACAAGTCTAACGATTTTGTATAACAATCTGGCGACATCATCACTTCTGGCGCGCTGTGCCACAAACTTGTACCGTACGCCGTACGGTAGCTCTCATGATCGTAAGAAGAATCATTGACGCTTGCCGCGCCAAAATCGCACAATTTAAGATGGCAGGTGGCGTTCACTAATATATTAGTGGGTTTGATGTCCCGGTGAAGTACGTTCGCTGAGTGTATGTACTTGACCGCCAGTAGTATTTGATATAGAAAATATTCTATATGCGCGGCAGATAGAGTGATCATTTGTTGATTTTTCAATTCTATAAGCTGAGCTAAATCATATTGCATAGGACTCTGCATGATATACACGTGCTCTATGGTGGACGGATGCGCACTCGGCACAGGGCTATATATTAAATCTGTGATCTTCACAATATTTTCGTGTTGAAGATGTGGTAGAATTCTAATTTCACGCAGTATTCTTTTACACGTCGTGGATAGACCCAAATGTGACATCTTTTTGATGGCCACCTCCTGATGGGTACGTTTGTCGTATGCAAAACATAATATACCGAAACTTCCCTGACCACGGTACTTTAGTAAATTGTATCGTGAGCCCACTTGAAAGACTATTTTCAATTTATCATTTACACTCATGATATTTTAATACAAAGTAATTAAATTAATATTATATGTTATAGTTATTAGTTAATCAGTAAGTATTAGAGTATTTACACTATGACTTAATAAATATGCGTTTTTTAATACTTTTTATAGTAAATCACTGGCATTGAATTTATACCAAAAATAATACGGACACAGATAAAAGTGAATTTCAGATATGATAATATTAATGGTATGAACGGAAGTTCTTGTTTTGTATAACCATATTCATTATAATTACACTATACTATACCATGTAAATACAGATTAATTATTAATTAAATTGTGATAATTTTAATTGAGAAAAATCAGATGTAAATGAAATTATTTTTAACATAAAAATAACGTATCAAAGGGATTAAAGATAGTGTGTAATAACTATACATGCAAATTGAGGGTTATGTGGAATTTTATTTTATATGAATTCTAACAAATGATACAGAATTAAGTATCATAATGTATTTTTATGAGAGACTTGTTATATATAGATTTATAAATGTTTTAGTTGAAAAATCAATAATTTAAAAAATTACTTTGTGCAGTATCTAATTATAAACAATTTGATGCACTTATTATTAAAATTGAGCATGTAGATTTTTAATGGCAAGCAATTGCCATTATGTAAATTCAATCACTTTAAAACAAAATACTTACATTTTTATCGTTTACGAGAAAAATACTCATAGATGTATCAAGTCATATTTTATTATAAACAATTTGGTATATAGTTTGTCAAAAACAAATAAGTAATTTTTGAGTTACGAGAAATTCAAATATGCCGTTGAAATACATTATGTCACTTAGTTCTGTGTCATTTGTTTGAATTCATATGGAATCACCAAATAAGTTATACGAGGTCAATAGAAAAATAATCATGGTCACATATATAATTTATGCTGAAATGTTTGCCAATCTTTTTTGGTATATACCACAATATAAATTTATAACGCGATTTTATACATACATAATATGTTTTCATTGTAAATATATAATTTATAAAAATTATTTTAATAAGTAGTTATTTTACACAAAAGTTATGATATAGAACACATTAGCAAATCTGTCTTATTTTAGTTTTAGTGAAAGAAAACTTATCAAAAGGCACACAATTGTAATTTCCCAGGCTGGATACGCTATTCTGTAAAAGACATGTCAAAGTATAATTAAAATTTAAAACCATTATTATCGGATTGCACGATTTAACACAGTAAGTAACCAAACTATGGCAACTTGTGTATATCAACCTAGGAGGCTTTAAACAAGAATCACACAGCGATGCTATACGTTAACCACAATTGGGGTATTACTCACACACAGCGATGCTATATGTTAACCACATTTGGGGTATTACTCACACACAGCGATGCTATACGTTAACCACAATTGGGGTATTACTCACACACAGCGATGCTATACGTTAACCACAATTCAGGCATTGCTCAAAGAATAGATTAGTCTTACAAAAGGTTCCGATAATTATTTCTCCTCCAATTTTATTACAACTTTCCTCTGGTATACATTACGAGCATTATATGAGAAATTACACTTATCATTGTAAAAAATAAATGTGTAATAATTCGGAACTGTGAATACTAAATATATTTTCCAAAAATGCACTTTCAGTGAATTATGGCAACAAATAATTACATTCATTTTAATAGCGAACCTGAAGCATTGGTAAATTATTTCAATGACTTAGTGTTAAATTTTTTTGGATTAATAATAAAATAGTGAGTGATAGGGTGGTACAGCCGCTCCACGTATTATGTGTGAAATACAAATAATTTGTTAATTAGTATAACACAAGTTAACTGTGCCACACAACTAAAAAATATTTGGTTAAAAATAATGATTCAATTCAAAACACAGTTAATTGTATACAGATACATACATATTAAATTCAAGTGAATTTTAAAATGACAAAAAACTGGTTGGAATGTAATTGCAATTTAAATTATAACGGTATTTTTAGTTAATTAATTAAACTCTGTATATATAAAAGCGGGCCATTGATATAATGCACGTAATATTTATATTATATATAATAACATAATTCACACAACATAGTCTTGCAATACTATTGCATCAATACAAATAATTTAAAAACAGAAATCACAGTTAAAACATAATTAACAAGGATCACACAGCGATGCTATACGTTAACCACTATTCGGGTGATCCTATAAACCAC